TCTTTCCTGGCTAGAATGAGTGGTTTGGGTAGACCAAGGTGGGAGGAGGTGCTCCCCTAGATATCGAGGTCCTAAACCATTTAAGGTTTTATATGTCATCATTAACACTTTGAAATCAATGTGGAAAGGAACAGGCAGCCAATGCAGGGCAGCCAGAGTGGGGGAAATATGCTGATATTTTTTCACCCAAGTATGAAGTCTGGCTGCCGCATTCTGCACCATTTGGAGTTTCTGCATCAATCTCAAAGGTAGCCCCACATATAGTGCATTACAGTAGTTTAATTTCGAGATTACAAGCACATGGACCAGAGTGGTGAGCACCCCAACATCAAGATAGGGATGCAGCTGGGCAATCCACTAGAGATGGAAATAGGCGGGCGGACCTCTTACGCTACCTTGGTTTCCATGGTGAGCGTCAGATACAGATGGACCCCCAAGCTGCGAATTTCACTCTTTGCAGTGAGGGTCACTCCCCCAAAAGAGAGGGAGTTTCCCAAACCACCAATAGTGGGGCCACCCATCCTCAGGACCTCCATCTTGTCCGGGTTCAGCCTCAGTCCATTCTCCTGCATCCATTGCAGTACAGCCTCCAGACAGCGCTGAAGGGACAGAATGGCATCCACTGTCGTTGGAAGAAAGGACCTCGCTCTGTATGGACCTGTAACATGGGAGAAGAGAACCCTTAGCACGATCTCCAATGTCGACAGAAGAATCATTCAATGAGAGTTAAAATCAATCTCAGTTGAGATATCCTTTTAAGCCTGGACTGGACTGCACCACAGAGGCTCCTTTACAGACTTTCATACTTTAGACCAGTAGTTCTTAACCTTTGTTACTCGGATGTTTTTGAACTGCAACTCCCAGAAACCCCAGCCAGCACAGTTGGTGGTGAAGGCTTCTGGGAGTTGCAGTCCAAAACTCCTGAGTAACCCAAGGTTAAGAACCAGTGCTTTAGACTCCTACACGTTGTTGTTGACTCTGTTTTGGCCATCTGAATACAATTTGCCTAGTTCAGCTTCCTTAAAGTAATGTCTCGAACAAAAGATATTCCTATTTTCTAGTACTTCTGTGCTTTGTTTGTAATGAACTCTGCACCACAACCTACTATTCGTTTGAAAACATAGTGGTAATAATTAATTATAATGAACAGCTTCTATGGCTCGACCATTTTGCATGAAAAGGTTCTTGATGTTATCCAGAGAAAGAGTCTAAAACTTATCCAATTTAACCAACACATATTAAGTTAAAATATAATCAAAAGAGTGACTGGAATCACTCTGTGTCAGTTGGAAAAGTCACTTTGAAGAAGGTGTTTATTAGCAACATTCTCCATGGGCCCAAACAGGTGGCTCAAAAATATCTGGGGAAAATCAGCTGCTGCTTATTAGGGTAAAGAGCCGACATTGCTAACAGGCAAAGTGCCAATAAATAGTAGGGATGCCTGGATTTGGAATCATTTTTACAGGAAGCATGCAATTAAACAAAGTAAGCAATTTGTACACATTCAAACATGTGATTCTTGAATTTCAGTCACTACGAATGTATTACCTGATCAGGTTACAGTATTACCATATTCTGGCTTCTAAAGGGTGGGGTGGGTGGAGGACAACATTGGGCTTAAATTTACAATACTGTATATTCAATAACTGATTGCAACAAAATATAGCTGGAGTGATAATATCATTTAACAGAATACTAGGTACCGAAGACTTGATAGTCAATAATATTTTACTATATCAATTCAGTGATCTGAAAATCAGACAGAAAATTAATGGAATACCATACTGTTTCCATAAATGAATGAAGTGATGAATTCTTCTGAAAAAAAATCCTGAGCCAACTTTCCTTAAAATAAATGAATTAGCAGTTCATTATTTGATACTGTACATATGCCTAAGATATGTGCATCTAGACCAGTACACAAAACCTATGGGTGAGAATCATGAAATCTCACACAGCCATTTTTATGGCCCTCTGAATATTTTTAATGTACTGTTTTTATGTTTACTGCACTTGTTTTTAATTGCTCATGAATCATCTTTTGTCCCTAATACTGGGAGAAAGCATAGAAGTAATTTAAATAAATATTATGTAAAATGCCTTATAAGCAACTTCTGAAAGTAACTAAAAATGCTAATTACTCTAAAATACCTTTGTAATTATTCCGTACATTACTTTTAATATATAACAAATTACTCCCTTGTTACACCAAAAAGTAAGTAGGTACAGACCACTGCGTTATTTGCTCCTGATTTTTACCATATTGTGAATGCCACACCCTCACAAGGAAACACTGTGATCCGATTCATGCTGGAACATATTGACCAAGATACATTGATTTCTCTGATCCAGAATCTAGCATCTGTCTTACCAGAAGTCCACTTGTTCACAGAGAAACATGATAAAGCATAGTCTGATAGCTTCCCACACTCTCTGTCTTGTAACAGCATGACATGATTCTGCTGTGAATCTAGAAGTTCTAAATCTACATTACACACACATTACAAAAAAGCACAGGCTACTCCTGCTATTTGAGGGGCATGTCAAAATTCCCTTACAGTCTATGGTCTCTGAGGTATGCTTCTATTGTGTAGTAATGACCACCGACAGGGATTACACATGAGTAAGATAGCAATGATTAATCTCTGTAATGCCTACTTGCTATGATGGCTGTATAGTATCTCCAGTATCAGGATCACTACATGTCTTTTTCAACCAGTTGCTAGGGAAAGTAAAGAAGAAGGTACAGTGGGGTCTTGACTTGAGAACTTAATCCGTATTGGAAGGCGGTTCTCAAGTCAAAAAGTCTGTAAGTCAAGTCTCCATTGACCTACAGTGCATTGAAAACCGATTAATCCCGTAACAGGCCGTTTTTGTTCCATTTTGGTTTTTGTCTGGTCTGTAAGTCAAATCTCAGTCTGCAAGTCAAACCTAAATTTTGCGGCCAGAGAAGTCTGTAACTCAAAAAGTCTGTAAGTCAAGCCGTCTGTAAGTCAAGGGTCCACTGTAATTCCGTGTTCATTGTCTGTTTATCTGCTTCTGATACAGTATATACAGTATCTGGTCAGCCACTACCAAGACAAAATACTGGACTGTATAAATCTTTAGTATGAGCAAAAGGGGCTCTTCTTACATAGTAAGTTGTGTAGACATGTGACACTCGACAACTGAGGTAAAAGAGGTGCTCCAAAATATATCTGAGAAGATTATACGCCTCCACTGCATGGTGCAGGGTGAGTGGTGGAACAGAAAAGTGACCGATTCTGCATCAGAACAATTAGCAAAACCAAGATAATTTGTGTACTGCTTCCGTCTTGGCTGATAGTAAATGAGAGTTGTCCCTGCAAGACAGAATATTTCCATGTCCTATGCAGAAGCAACACATAAATGGTACTGTGACATGACATTATGATTTCCATTTATATAAGGAAATACAAATTTTGCTAAAGCATCAAAATCTCAAAACATTCACATCACGACAGACTACTTAGAAATCTTACATTAGAGAATGTGTGTGTCTTCTCAAAAATATCTTAATAAAAATGTGGGGAGATCAATTCTTAAATAAACACTGCCATCTTATGGTAATACAAGTGCAAAACAGTAGGAAAATCCCTTACTTATTTACACAACAAAAATATTCAGCAGCCAGTAGCGTCCTTTTAAGTGGATCCACATATAATCATGAACGATGAACAATCTTCCCCAAGGGCAAATAAAGAATGACAATATGATTATGCAATAAAAATCAGGACAGATAAGCCTTTTTACTATGAAGAATGTAATATGCAACCAAAGTTTAAAATTTAATTTGATAATGCACATTGTACAGTGCTATGAAAGGTTATACTGTATTACACTGATTCTAGACCTTTAACACACATTGTTATAATAAGGATACAAGTACAGCCGTACCTCAATTTACAAATTTAATGTGTTCTCCGGGACGTTTCGTATTGCAAAAAATTCAAAAACTGAAAGTCAGTTTCCCATAAGAACTCATGCACCGCAGTGGCACTATAAACCTTCCAGGTCCAATGCATCCTAGGGAAACTTGCTTCGTATTGCGAAACAAAATTGTAAACTGAGGCATTATTTTCAATGGACTTTCTTTCATAAACTGAAAATTAAGTTAACTGAGGCGTTCGTAAACCGAAATGTGAGTTTATCCCAGATTATAAGAATTCCTTGGAACAAGAGGCTCAGCACTGAAATACCAAGATGTATGAATAATGACTATGGAATCATAAAATGCGGAAAGCTAAAATATTTGGGTCCCACTAAATGACAAATGAAAAGTAGATTATGTTACAGCTGACCATTCAAAGTAAAGCAGGAGAAGAAATCCAGGCAACAGAAGATGTCACAAGACTTGCTTTACTGTCACAACATCTGCTTCACTGCACTTTATGAAAGAGACAAAATAACACCGTTTCTTACTCTCCTCCACCAAATCATGTTCTAACGAAAATCACCAAAACCACCCCCAACACACACACACACCAGATCCTATCTTGCAACAGCATAAAGATGCGGCCTTCGCGCGTGCGCATTTATAAGCGAACGTGGCGGCAGAAAACACCGAATCGGTCTGCTTCCGAAAAACCCGCTCCGGACCATCTCCACTGTGCGCCTGCGCGAAGCGAGAGTTCTTATTTCCCCCCCCCCCGAGCTTGCGTCGTGATGCTCATGGAGGCGGAGCCAAAGTTTGAATAACGTGGCGGGAAAAGGTTCTGCTTCCACGGCCTTGCTTTGAGGGGAGGGGAGAAAGACGGTCCTGAGGGGATTTTTTTTTCCCCCGCGGGGGTGGTCGTTTGCGCGACCGTTTCTCGTTCGGCTCGGAGCCCAGCTCGGTTCCTTTCCTCCTTTCCCTAATGGCGAAGCAGCAGAGCCGGGAGCAAGGGATCACTTTGCGAGGCAGCGCCGAGATTGTCGCCGAGTTTTTCTGTGAGTAACGGAAGTGGGTGGATCTCCTTGGAAGGCAACGAACCTTGATGGGCTTACTCGGCAGTAAGCCCAGCGCGGGGGCTTGCTTCCAGGCAAGTCACTTCCTTGAGAGTAAGTAAGCCCAGCGCGGGGGCTTGCTTCCAGCGAAGTCACTTTGAGAGTGAATCCTATCGGACTCAGTGGTATTTACTTCCAAGTAGAGGTGCCTAAGACGGAGTGGAGGGGGGAGGGTTACGAGGGGAAAATGGCGCCTCCGCTGAGGGGAACCTTCTCCTTGACGGACAGGACCTGGGTTTGTAATCGTCTCCTGTCCTTTATTGGCTCTGTCGTCTTCTGTCGCTTCTTAAGCCTTCGCCTTAATTAATAAAAAAATTAAAAAATAATGGCCCTAAGCAGTTATGATGATTTCCCAAAGTAAGGACAAGGAGGCAAACCCGATTCATAGGATGCTTAAGAAGATGAATGGCTGCTTGCCACAGGCAGGATGGCCTTATAAAATGAATGGGTTAAGATGCATTTCGTGGGATTTATTTCTGAGTAAAGGATGGTGCTGTGAATGAAGGATGTTCTAAATAGGCATCGTGGCTCTAGTAATTCTCCCAATATAATAGTTAAGTCGTTCTTGCCTGCATAACAATAGAAAGATCCTCGCTGAGAAACAGTCTCTTTGATTATTATGGGTGACTATTCCACTCTAGGCATGTCTATTTTATCCATGCTGGAGGCAGAATTATGAATTATACAGATTCAGGGTTATCAATCGCAACTAGAGTGGCCTATGTCGTATGACATGAATGAAACTTCAGGCAAGGTTCAGTCCCATTCATTTAGTAACTTTAAACTAACACATGGGTTTAACCTCTAACTTGCTTTAGCAAGTAATCTTAGAAGGATAGCCCTGTCAGTCTGCAAGCTTATCCGGCAAAAATCAAAAGAAACAAAACAGAAGACAAAATCATGTGTCACCTTAAAGACTAACCATTATATTTTAATGTGTTTTTTAATGTTTTTTTAAAACCAGGTTTTTGTCACTATTTTATCATGTGGTAATATTTTAATGTGTTTTTTAATGTTTTTTTTTAAACCAGGTTTTTGTCACTGTTTTTTCGTGTGGTAGTTTTGCTTTGGATTTTGCCTGATATGCTTCCTTTGGAAAGGCAACTAGTAATTTCTAGATGGAATGCAAAATATGTGTGTTATCTCTTTTACATCTGTGGCTTTCAATTCCCTGAAGTTACTACCTCTCATCAGAAAACCTGTGTAGACACTGATTGGAATATTACAAAAATATGAACTCACCAGATTGGGATTTTGTGCATGAATATTATGCATTGTGATACAATCGTTTTGACAGTCATTTATGTAACTGAACCATACAGCTCCATAAAGTATGGAGTTTCATTAGTGAAACTTCAGATTTTGGTATTCTTACTCTTGAGATGCTGGCTGGATAGCTCACTGAGTTGGGTACCTGTCCAGCCTTTTTGGTCTTGGGCAAACAATACAGCCCCAGAATACCCAAAAAGGGCTGTAAACGTCTTTTGAGTACTTTTTACCTTGAAAACTCTGGTATGAGTCACTGTAAGTTGGATTCAACTTGATGACATGTTCTGTACTATTACTCTTAATATGAACACCCCGTAATTAGGCTGTAGCTAGAAGAAAATGATAATAGACTGCTATATTCATATTTCTTTTAAATTTGCTTTGGGAGACAATCTAGAGACTCTTCCCCTTGAACTGTTTTTTTTTCCAGTTCAAGGGGAAGAATAGTTTAATACAAATATGTATTGCCACTAAAAACAGGTGTATGGTTTGAAGTTGTTAATGGGATAGAAAAAAACAGTATGATCACTTTGGATTGTAACATTAATATTTTCTTCTTTCAGCATATGGCATCAATAGTATATTATACCAACGTGGGATCTATCCTGCTGAAACCTTCACACATGTTCAGAAATATGGACTTACTATGCTTGTAACAGCAGATCCTGAATTAAAGAACTACCTGAATAATGTAGTGGGGCAATTAAAAGGTACTATTATTAATAAATTTCCTAGGTGTTTGAGAAGGCATATGGTCAGTTTCCTACAAACCTCAAAAATACACATGATAAGGAGAACACAAGAAAATGCACAACTCAAGCACACTTTCTTATTGGAGAGTAAACTACTGGTAAACAGTTGACATGGTTCAGCTACCAGTTTCATTTATAATGTGAATGGAAACTGAAATGCCAAACATGTAGTGCATCATGAGTTGAAGTCTGGATTTTTTTTCCCCGTATGAGTTCATGTTAATATATGTAAGAAGAATGTGCAGTTGCTGGCCTAATAGATTTGTTATGGCACACTTATTAGCAATGATTGCATAAAACAATTAGCAATGATTACATAAAAAAAGATACCACTTCCTTACCTGTGAACATTTACATTATTATAGCAAAGCCTTGTTTTCCTTCTAACTTCTCAGAGTGGCTCTGTGAGTGCCTAGTGCAGCGGCTAGTGGTGGTGATCTCCAGTAAGGAAACTAGTGAAATTCTTGAAAGATGGCAGTTTGACATTGAGTGTGACAAAACTGCAAAGGATGAAAAGTAAGTATCATCAAATCTTGTTTCAAACAATGGCAAATGTAGAATGCATGCCATTTCCCTTACATTGGTTAATACAAACTAGTTGAATAAAACACAAAATCCAACTATACAAACATAATCTAAATAGCTTAAAATAAATTAATCTTTCTCTGAAAAATAGATAAGTTTGAGTCATCACCACAGCAATTTCAATTTATATCCTTATTGCCTTCTGGTATAAGACTGTTTGTTATAAAGGTAGTAAACTAACCTTTCAGATATCTCTAAGGAAGGAATTACATCTAGTCCAGCTTCTGTATCTCACAGTAACCCCACCAATCCTGTTAACCATTGGAAAACTGCAGACTCCCAGATCAGTCAGCACTTAATAACACTACCATTTTATCTGGACTGAGGTTCATGTTTATTCATGATCCTATCACTGTTGGGTTCAGTCGCATTCAAGACTTTCAGCACCATACATGATTATAGAAAAGAAGTGAAACAACTTAAATTTACTGTTCTCTCTTAGGTCATCTACTAGCATAAACAATGTACTTTCCAAAAGCTAGACAATAGACATCTAGAGTGGTCGAAATGACTAGATAGGCGGGGTATAAATACAATAAATAAATAAATACATCTAAGTTAGTTTAAACCGGAATTTGCTATAGTTGCATGGTCACTTGACATGGGCAAATGCAGACTGACTAGTAGATAATTATTGAAGCCCAGGAACCTCCCACACTGGCTTTTTTTCTATTAAAGATTGTACAGCTGGCTTCTCCAAAGAATGACTGCTCCAGGGAGGACTTGACCTTTGCCTTTTCCAGCCCAAACAGCCTGTACATCAGGTTAAAACCAGCTACTACTACTAAAGGTTTAGCTTGCAAGTCAGTTGGATCAAATGAAAGTAATTGGAACTCAAGCAAATGTGATGGGCTGAACTCACGGCTAGTACCTGTATAGGACTGAAGCTTAGCACAGAATCCAAAACGGGGTGTTTTTATTTGCAAAATGCATCACAAACACATCAGAATGGACTGATGAGTGTTATATCTCCTTGTTAGTACCAACAGGGTGTAATAGGCTTTTAATCTTGCACAAAGGGTTTTTGTACAATATTATGCAGATAATGCAGCTGTTCTAAAGTTCAGTATCTTCTACTATTGCCACCAAAAAGTAGGCCTTCCTAATAACCTATGTTTGTATGCTTCCCATGTTTTTCAATTTATATGTCATATCAGTTTGTTGATTCTCATGTCCTACATGTCAGCAGGATTGGCTGGGGAATTATTTTCTGCTTAGTCAAAACATATCAATGAGTTAATCCAGTTAGAAGAATTACTGATTTTGTAGAATGAAATAATGTTTTCAATGTATGTTGCCAAATTTCTTGGATAATCACTAATTTTTACTGTGGTTTTTTTTAGCATGCCAAGACAGAAATCTCAGAAAGCGATACAGGATGAAATTAAATCTGTTATCAGACAAATAACAGCCACAGTGACATTTCTTCCTTTATTAGAAACTACCTGTAAGTAATATTGTTTGATGCTGCTAATAGAACATAGAGGATTGTTATGAGGGCTATAGAAAACAGTTTATACTTGTATATGTTATAAGCTTATCTTACATAGTAAAGAACCAGAGCACTGTAAGTTTCTATATCTTTTAAAATAACTTGCAAATTTTTGCAACCTGTAATCTCTAGAAGGAAGACTGCATTAGCTTGGGACCAGTTATATTTAACATTTTGATTAACTATTTAAAGTTATAGGTGAAAAACAAGGAGAGAGATGCCAGCTTTCAGATAATACCATATCTCTATTTTGCAAAATCTGAGCTATTGATGAATGGCTCTGTGATTTCTGAAATGGGTTGGTTAGAGATTAAGATATAGTTGTGCTTAAAATTTTTAAAGTAGGTAGATCATGACTTAAATCACAGAAGGAGCAGCTAAAATAAGGCAATAATACAGTATGTTACTTACAAAGAAATGTCTAAATTACTCCCTTTTTCAGAGGAGGAGAAGCTGATTATTTAGTCTGATAAAGTATCAGACTAAGTTCAAGAAATCTGGGTTCAAATGCCCATTTGGCCATGGAAAATCACTCATGGATTACAGGGATAGCAATAGTGAATAACTCACCTTACAAACTATTTAGTCACTAACAATCAGAAACAACTTTTCTGTACAAAGCAACAACCACATTTAACAACTGTACAGGACGTCTTGGATTTTGAAGGTGCCTCACATTCATTATCTGTAATCCTTACAACAATCCTTCATATTAAATCAGTATGAATTATGGTGCTGGAGGAGACTCTTGAGAGTCCCCTGGACTGTAAGGAAAACAAACCTATCTATTCTGAAGGAAATCAACCCTGAATGCTCACTGGAAGGACAGATCCTGAAGCTGAGGCTCCAATAATTTGGCCATCTCATGGGAAGAGAAGACTCCCTGGAAAAGACCCTGATGTTGGGAAAAGGGAAGGCAAGAGGAGAAGGGGACAACAGGACGAGATAGTTGGACAGTGTCATCGAAACTACCAACATGAATTTGACCCAACTCCGGGAGGCAGTGGAAGACACAAGGGCTTGGCATGCTCTGGTCCATGGAGTCACGAAGAGTTGGACACGACTTAACAACTAAACAACAACTACCTACAATATTACAGTCATATAGGAAATTAATTATGGGGGCACAATTCAAACTGAAGATTCGTGATGTATGTCTGATTTATAGCACGAAGAGTTGGACAGGTAATGTCCCTGTTAAGGTCTCTCCCTGAAGGCACAGGACCTACAAGTGGGCAGAGAGAGATGTGTTCCTCCTTTCAGGTTGCTGGTCTCCATCCTCTGTCCCAACCATGTCACATCAAGCAATAGGCTCTGAAAGGATGTTCTCATATTTTATTGAAAGCTGGGTCCCATTTTGTGGACTGTTCTACTTGTATTCACTGAAACATGAGCAGAATACTCTTGACTCTGCCACTCAATAAAGCAAGATCATTGCTTGGCTGGTTGGGCCCCACTTATAGTGCTATATCCCTCCACCTACTATAAAATAAAACAAAAGAGCTGACATAATTCAAACTCAGTGTTTCTGTTAGTTTTAATACCAGTCTGTAGAAAAATCAGTAGAAATGGAGCTCATGTGTACATTCCCTTCAGGTAGAATCTTCAGAACCAAGTAATGAGTGAAGTCTTACCGTCTGCAACTTCAAACTCAATCTACCTGGTTGTGCCTGATGCTGAGGTTTAATCACAGTATCTTTCTCAAGTTATGATAGTTAATATTCTACCACTAAAGTTGGTTAAATTTCACAAATGTCTGAATTGCTGAGACCCCAAAATATCAGGTACTAGTGTAAGCAAAGTATCTAAAATGTATTCACCACCAATAATATGTTTGTTTTGGTTTTTTTATAGGTGCTTTTGACTTGCTAATTTTCACAGACAAAGACTTAGAAGTTCCAGAAAAATGGGAGGAGTCAGGTCCACAGTTTATTGCTAACTCTGAAGAGGTCCGTCTTCGATCCTTCACAACTACAATACACAAGGTCAACAGTATGGTGGCCTACAAAAAGGACAACTTTCCCTGACTCACCAAATACCATTGGACATTCATGTTATGTTCTAAGTAGGCTGAATGCAAACAGCAAAGATGTGCTTTGTACATACTTTATATTTTGTAATCAAGGTGCAACCTCAAACAGAAGAGCCTTTTTATCCCAAGATACCTTATACGTAAAGCCAAATTACATGGGGGGGGGAAGCATCTTTATATAGATTAGGTAAGCAAAGAAACTTCGTAAGACCAACACATAATTTTGGAATATCAGGTAGGTTACTTCATTAAAAGCATGATCTTGAAATGATACTGTGGATGTACTGCTAAGAATCTCAAAATTCTGTTCCAATCTACATATGCTATAACATGAGTATGTGTCAAATGCTTTTTTAGATCCTGGTATTTTATATAATAAAGATTTAAATATGTAGTGTACATAAAAACGTGTTGGTCTTTGTAACTAGTGGAGAAAGTAGAAAGCCTTGTGGTCCTTGTGCAAAATCCCAAAACATGGGTGGGTAAAATTGTTGAGCCATTGAAACACTAAACCCAGGTGAGATTTGAGTTCAGCAGAGCTCTTTTTAAGGTGAATATTGTGGAGTTTGGGAAGGGAGTAGCCCTCCAGATTGTGTCAGGATCTGTGACAGTCGCATCCCAAGACAGAGTGTCTAAACTTGTTGAATTGAATTTTGGTCAGTCAGCTAGTTGAGAATGTACTAGATGACTTAAGCCTTCATTTCCCAAAGAGATAGGAAGAGAAAGTCATTATAACAGAGGTCAGATGCCTTAAGCTGATGCAACACACCTGGACTCTACATCTTGAGACATCCCTTTAATGCAGATCCTGACACAACAGGTGGTCAGGATAAAATTTGGATTTTCCTATTTGTTTTCCCATCTCAAACTCTGCAATGCCTAATCTGAAGCAAAGCCTTGCTGGACTCAAAACACCCACCTATCGTTTACATTTTAGTGGTCCAATGAATATATTACTCTTCCTTCTACCTACTTATCTGAAGTGATTGTGTACTGTTTTCTAAAGTTTGCTTACCTGTGTCCGTATACACTATACACATAATAGGAAGTGTTGTATCCAGCAATGGTTTTGTGGAAAGCACACACAAGGTACTTATCCAGCTTTTCAGTGTTCCCCTGTGTCTAATGTAGTCACCTGTTTCCTGATAATCTGAATATCCTCTACCAAATGTAACTGTGAGACAGAAGGTGAGAGGGATGCCCCACTCACTGGAGAGCTGTCCCTCTCCCACAAGAATACGGAGCAGAGTCCCTAGCCAGCAGCAGAACCTGTGGCAGAATCTCAGCAAGGGACACCAAAACACCCACCTATCGTTTACATTTTAGTGGTCCAATGAATATATTACTCTTCCTTCTACCTACTTATCTTAAGTGATTGTGTACTGTTTCTAAAGTTTGCTTACCTGTGTCCGTATACACTATACACATAATAGGAAGTGTTGTATCCAGCAATGGTTTTGTGGAAAGCACACACAAGGTACTTATCCAGCTTTTCAGTGTTCCCCTGTGTCTAATGTAGTCACCTGTTTCCTGATAATCTGAATATCCTCTACCAAATGTAACTGTGAGACAGAAGGTGAGAGGGATGCCCCACTCACTGGAGAGCTGTCCCTCTCCCACAAGAATATGGAGCAGAGTCCCTAGCCAGCACCAGAACCTGTGGCAGAAGCTCAGCAAGGGACATAGGGTTGACTGAGAACTTGCAGGGTGTGACAAAAGTCCAGGAGGAAAAGGCAGGAAAAGAAGAGGGTGGCTTTTGAGGCAGGAACAGGAGGTAAAAGAGTCAGTTGCTGCCAGGCTGGGAAGGGGTGTTGATGGAGGATCCCTGGACAGTATTATGGGAGAGGCTGAGAGTGCCTAGAGGAGGCGGATTACAGAAGGGAGATTCCTCCCAGACCCTCTTTTTGGGAAGAAGCCAAGGCAAGAGAACAGAGGAGGGGGTTGAGAGAAGAGTAGAGAGAGAGGCTAGAATGGAGAATAAGAGATATGAGGAAGAACTACAGGGAGGACCCTGGGAGGATTGAGACCCCGAGGGATGAACCCTGGGGAATGGGGATCGGGATGACGAGACTGCCCTTGCTGGAAGTGAAAGACTGGGTCCCTGCTGATTTACTGGGACCATGGAACAATAGTTATGGCAACCTGTTCCTCTTAGAAGACTGGAGACCCCTTCCGGACCCGTTGGTAGGAGAAAAGACTCATAATCATGTCACAGACACTTGTTTATTGTTAAATGCACCAATAAATCTTTCACCTGTTTTGAAGCAACAAAAATCTGATTTCTTTGAACCAAAAGACGAGCCTAAAGCCAAACCCACCTGTTCCTCTTAGAAGACTGGAGACCCCTTCCGGACCCATTGGCAGGAGAAAAGACTCAATCATGTCACAGACGCTCTTGTTTATTGTTAAATGCACCAATAAATCACCTGTTTTGAAGCAACAAAATCTGATTTCTTTGAACCAAAAGACGAGCCTAAAGCTGAACCCTCACACTATGCTATTATCTACTGTTACTTTCCTTCACAACTACCAGACCCATCTTTCACAAGGCTCAAAGATAAAAATTGCTAATATTCTGTATATTAACACACATAGTTCCTCCATCTCCTTTAATAATGTTACTACTTATGGTTGGTTTTGCCACAACTCTGTTCTCCCCCTTTTTTCCCTTGTTTTGTCTCTTGTGAAACAGGTCATAAATTATTGCACATGTGAAATGCAACCATACACCACTGTCTTAAAGCCACACATGAAACTTTTATTGTGAAATTTGAAGTGCTTGCAAAGACTAACCACTACCTCTTCTAAAACTACAGCTTTCAGGCTCCCAGGTGGTCTCCCACCTAGGCACTGCCAGATCAAGGTTGCTTAGTCTCAGTAAAAGATTGCATATATTTTTACATCAACTATGATTCTAATTAGGACAAGTACTTGGAAAACAGTGTCAGCAAAGAATGCCTGGGAAAATCAAATCAAGCATGAGATAAACTGAAATTTGTATTTAAATTCGTATCTGCAAATTAGACAAGGCGCAGCATCCATCCCCACACTAAACCTTTATTGGCATTTTGTCTATTTCCATCAGTCTCCCCAAGTAAAGTGATGCTAATTTTTCCTAGAGCTGCTATACTGGCATCTACCCCAAATAATACACATTGGTTAATTCTTGATTTTGCCACTAGATGCCACTCTTTCTACAAACTCAGGAAGGGCATGTCTATAGACTTCTAGCTTTTCACCTTCAACAATTCCTGTGTGCCTAGCTAAACAGTGACTGGATACAGTGGATCCTCGACTTATGAAGGTCCCTACTTATGAAAATTTCAAGGTATGAAAAGCTCTGGCCGCCAAATTTTGGTTCAACCTGTGGCTGGAGCTTCGTCCTAGGAAAGGCAGGGGGAAAGGGCGGGAAATTCAAAGCCATCCCCACTGGCATTGGGGGCAGATTTGGAAGCCTGGGAAGCCAAAACCGTCCTACCTCTGTGCCCGCGGCCGGCTTCCCAAGCCCCTCTGCTGCCCTCTTCTCTCCTGTCCCTGTTGCCCTCTGCCTCCTGTCCCCACAGGGACAGGATACAGAGGGCACCAGGGACAGGAGGCAGAGCGCACTGGGGATGGGAGACAGAGGGCAGCAGAGGGGGTTTGGAAGCCCAGAAAGCCGAAAGCCACTCCGCGCCCGCTGCCGGCTTTCAAACCTCCTCCGCTGTCCTCTGCCCCCCACGCCCACTGCCCTCTGCCTCCTGTCCCCATGGTAGAGTGCAGCGGGTGCAGATTTGGAAGACCGGCAAGCCGAAAGCCACTCTGCGCCCGCTGCCGGCTTTCAAACCTCCTCCGCTGTCCTCTGCCTGCCACTGCCCTGTTTCCTGTCCCCACAGAGGCAGAGGGCACTGGGAACAAGAGACAGAGGGCAGCAGAGGGGGTTTGGAAGCCAGGAAGCCAAAACCCCGCAGCGGGCATGGAGCAGCTTTCCACTTGCCAGGCTTCCAAAGCTGCACTCGCTGCCCTCTGCCTCCCGTCCCCGGGAGCAGCGGGGACAGAAGGCAGAGGGCAGTAGGTGCAGCTTTGGAAGCCCAGGATTTCCCCCCCTTTGGCTGGTTTTCAATGCATTCCTATGGGAAATGGACCCTCGACCTACGGACTTTTCAACCTGCGGCCACTGTTCTAATACGGACTAATTCCATAAGTCAAGGGTCCACTGTACATATAAGGGAGTAAGGCTCATGCTTGCTTTGATCAACAGACAACTGAACTTACTGCAACCTTTCACCATCCATCTAGCTAAACAGTAAAGATTTCTGTCATAGTGAGTTATAGTTTTACTAAGCTGGAAGCTCTCTTTCCCAAAATGAAAAAAACCAAATATGTAACTACATCCAGAGGCAATTCCAAAACAAACACCGAGCAGAACCGTGATGAAACCACAAACTTCAATTAGAAATAAGAATTCATGGGAACACAAGCATGTAATAATTAGAAAATTGTAGTACATACTTTCCCTTTAAATAATTTGTATTTATGCATATGCAGGCTACTTAGGAATACTTTTTCATTTCTAGGGTTGTAGTTTATCTTGTTTATATCCCACTCACTCAAATAAAGTAACACACCACTAGTGATGCTTCTAGCTTAGTGTTAAAAGGCAATAGACAAGAAAAAATTGTTAACCCCATTCCCCAAATTGCACACGTCAGAACAGACATCCCACAATAAGCACAAAATAATACATTTTATTTGACTTTCATCTAACAAAGCGGAAGGTTGACACTGAAATGGGCATTTAGAGAAGAGCAATCCATGAATCTGACAGGAAACATTCAGGCATCAACTGGTAAAAGACAGGGTAAGGGAGAGGTGAGAGATCCTGTTGTGATCAGACGATAGGTGCTCAAACCTTTCAAAGGATGACCTCTGCTCCCATGTTCTTTATCTAGAGTGTACACTACAGAAACAAATTAACTAAGATGCTAAATATTTCCACTTTTGTAGTTGAGAGGTAGATACTGAAAATCCACACAAAACAAACTACTAGAGTTTCACATTGTCTTTCCACGTACAGTGGTACCTCACAAGACAATTACCCCGCAAAATGACGAATCCGCATGACGATGAGGTTTTGCAATCTCCATTGCACTTTGCAAAACAGTGTATCCTATGGGTAATTTTCGTTGGACAATGTTTTGGTGTGTGCTTTGCAAGACGGGTTTTCTTTCGGGACCAATGCTTCGCAAGATGACGATTTTAAGAGCTGATTGGCGGCTTTGCAAAATGGCTTCCCTATGGGCGATCTTCGCAAAACGGGTGTTTTCGGGACCAATGCTTCGCAAGACAGCAATTTAAACAGCTGATCGGTGCTTTGCAATATAGCTTCCCTATGGCCGATTTTTGCAAAACAACAACTATTTTCCCTATTGGAATGCATTAAACGGATTCAATGCATTCCAATGTGGAAACGCTTTTTGCAAGATGATGTTTTCGCTAAACAGCGATTTCAATGGAACGGATTAACATCGTCTTGCGGTGCACCACTGTATATATTACTTCCAGAAAGAGGATGCTAAAGTTACACTCTTAACATTTTAGGAGTCCTTTGTGCAGTTCTTCCATTCAATATAGAGTCACATTAGTGGGTCGGGGACTGCAAATAAAGATTGAATGATGGATTGAATATAGAGTCACAATTTGGTCAGAATATTTAAGTTACATCTTGAGTATCTTTTGATTTACAAGGAATAGTTGCTCCATCATTTCATTCTGAAGACAGCAGATACAATGCATAGTTACAGGAGTCTCTAAAGAACAGATGTACCTCACAGAGTACAAATAAGTATCATCCAGAACATCCTCCAAATGTGCATAAAGATCAATCTGAAAGAAAGAATATACAGATTTCTTTAAATAAAAGGGAACTGTTAGCAATATACATAATGATTAGCTCTGAGAAAGCTGGAGATGAAAATATAAGCGGCAAATAATACAATGTTATGAGTGAACTGGACAGAAGTATGAAGCGAAATGACTAATAGGAATTAAATTCACTACTGTACAGCAGACAATTGACCATTCATGCATTAGGATGTCCTGAAAATATGATAACATTTAAAAGGGATTTCATTAAAAATCCATCAAATGCTGCAATGCTAAACACACTGCTTGAAACTAAGTTCACTTTAAATAAATGGGGTTTATGCACTGTTAATTTTCCTCTTGATATGTAAAACTCCATATTGATCACTATATTTGGGACCAATAAACTATCTTCTGAAATGGAACGGATTTTTCCTCATATCTGCTACACACAAATCATCTGGATTTATACTATGTATATTCCACCACAAAATAAATCTTCACTTCTCTTTCTATTGATAGCTTATTGGAGTTTTCCTGAAGTCCTAAATGATGAACCTACCTTACACTGGGTCTAACCAGTGGTCCATATAAGCTATGTATAGTCTTCTTTTATTCATATTAGGAGACTCAGGATTTCAGATAGATTGTTCCCATCCCTGCTATCCAGTATATTAAACTGAAGATACTAAAGATTAACCTTTGACCTTTTGCAGGTGCTCTACACTCAACTAGAGCACCATGCACTTACTGCAACCCTGTACCCTTCAAATGTTTGTGGATTTGAACTCCCACCAGCCTCAGCTACTGCAGCCCAAAGAATACAGACAGCACTAGTCTAAAGAAAGATGCTTTCTGCCTGGGTGCTAATTAGGTAATTTTGCTTCCTTCTCAACCTATAATTTAGTCACATAAATAATAATTACGACCATCAAGCTGATCCTGGCTTATGGCAACTCTTTTCAGATATTTCTAGGCATACTCTACTAAGAAGTGGTTTACTATTCCCTTCTTCTGGGGGCACTCTAGGACTGTGCAGCTGAACCAAGGCTACAGAGGCTGGCTCTTTTCTCAGCAGCCACACTGGGAAACTGAACACCCAAACTCTGGCTCTGCAGCCAGATGCCCAAGTCACTGAGCTCTTCAGTTTTCTCAATTACAGCAATCCTTCAAAAGGAATGCATAGAGAACCCTTAAAAATCGCACAGACTAAAATTCCCAGAAATTGGCATCAAAGCACACACCTAGGACTAGTTCAAATGACGAATTAGCTCATTGATCCCATTGCCTCGAAATCCAGTATCACCAATCTCTTTGTGGAATCCCACTTTGTTACGAGCAGCGTGGCGAGCTACTGAAAGGTGGAATGGCCATAGAAAGTTGTTGATTTCTTGAAAATGTTTCCCAGCTGAATAAATTTCATGAATAAGATCTTCCAGACAAATGATACCATACTTTCCTAATTGGAAGACAGAGAGAGAGAGTTTTAAAAAGTGATAGTATTTGATCTTCCCCTTATATTATGAAGCACAAACTGCCCCAAACATTAAAGTTCCCCTCCATTTAATTTCTTACCCAGATGCTCCTCTATCAGGATGTTGTCCGTGAGAGCAACCTTTTTATTTTTGAGCTTTGCATGCCCTCGTTTCAGGATCAATTCTCGAATAGATTTCAGGTTGGGATACCTGTGCAAATATACATAAAGTGGTATGACTGGGGGAAATGTTTAAAATGGTACAAAACTACATACAGTACACTGCATTTTTCCCTCTGAATTTAACGGTAAACCACATTTTTTATATTGTTAGTTCCCCAAAAAGGAAGCACAGTGCTAAATATTTTGAGCTTTCATTCTTCCATGCCCAAGAATCAGTCTCCACTGGCATAGAAGATACACCAATTAATAATGATTTTTGCAAGTTACTATTTAAAGCTATATGGAGAAATTATTTCGTTTGGATTACAACTCCCAGATTCAGTCAATCAGAATAATTAATGGCCATATTGGCCAGGGGATTTTGAAAGTTGGACCCCAAACAGTAACTTTTCCAACCTCTGGATCTAAGACATTAGCTGAAATCCTGTCCTAAAATTATATGCCATGCAAGGCACAAAGATGTCTACAATTTCTGGAAATGAAAGTGCCCCCCCCAATCCTGCAGCTTCCAATGGCTTTCCCCATTATGAAAGCAATCCCAAGAACGCATCAGAACCTCCCTATACTTACAAGCTAACTTTGATTAACGAAAATATCACATCATCTCCTACACTGCACTTAGGGCATAGACAACTTTAGGATATTCATTCCTTAAACCATTCCAACAAGCAAATAAAATCCATCAAAATCATCCAAGAAATTGACTACAAATCTTATCTCTAAGTCACCTAAGGATGCACTCCCATCAGTTTAAAAGTTCCACACCACTTACACATCTGTAAACTGATTTGATTTTAAGACTTTCTGACCCACAGAACACAAACATGTTCTAACCTCCTAAACCTCTGAACGTGTACTACTATTAAGCTGAACTGTCTCCCATTCTATCACTGACCAAATTTTCCTAAATAGTTTTAGAACTCTGAAGAAGATTGAAACAGTGAGCACAATCTAAAGGAAAAAGGTTGTTTCTGGATTATTAGCTGGTGATGGGTATGATTTCATTAGAGAAGTCTAATTATAATGATTTATGACAACACAGATCAGTTTAAACACTGCACCGCTGTGAACTATCCCAATTTCTAACAGCTTTACACTGCTTCACAAAATGAGAGGCCACCTGACTCAATGTAATTTGAACCAGACTCCACACTTTGCTAAATAATTTTTCACACTAGCCTTTGAATGAACATACTTTTCCTAAGGTAGCAGCAACACAGGTAGCACCTGTTTTTCCTCCTTAACTAAATCACATATAGAAGAGCAGAGTAAGAGTCAAGAGAAACAGTTCTGGAATACAAAAAAGGAGTCATGATGTACCTGGATATATTCCTCTCATTACCTATACTCAATTAAACCCCTCACTCTCAACCACTCACAATAAAAATGAAAGATGTACTAACCCCCATGCCACATAGGGCTCCACTGTTCGCAGCAATTTTAGGGTTCCTGGTGACAACTTAACGAAAGTGCCACTGTAAATTTTTCTAAGACGAAGGTTCTCAATCACATGCCGCACTTGCGGGCTCACTCCTCTAATACTAAATTAAAATGAAAAACATGTCAGTAACTAAAGTTTCACTTTATAAACAACACATATTTAAAAACAATTTACTCTATATTATGTCAGAAGTTGCATGTCTAAGTTATAACCAAGTTAATCTAGTAGCAGCCCGAGCCAAGGCCATAACTAAGGGCCATCTTCCAGGTTTATAATGACCTCACTTAGAGGACTGTGCTGAAAAACAAAACTGGAAACCACATGTTGCTTATTTAACACTGAGGTATTATATTCTTGCTTTTAAAAGGCAGATGGCCATTTCCATTCAGTGCTCAGTTCAGCAGTCCTCAGTGTTTCCATAATTCAACAGTACTGTGAAGTGATTTTGAAGAGTATGGCCATGGTTACTTCAAATACAGTGGTGCCTCACTAGACGATAATCCGTTCCACTGAAATCGCTGTTTAGCGAAATCATTGTCTAGCGAAAAGCATTTCCCCGTTGGAATGCATTGAAACCTGTTTAATGCGTTCCAACGGGGAAGAATCATCATTGTCTAGCGAAGATCGGCCATAGGAAAGCCGCTTTACGAACCGCCGATCAGCTGTTTAAATCACTGCCTTGCGAAGCTTAGGTCCCGAAAACACCTGTTTTGTGAGCGTGGAGAGAGCTGTCAAAATCATTGTCTAGCGAAAATCGGTTTGTGAAGCAGGGACCAAACATTGTCCAGCGAAATTCCCCCATAGGAATCACTGTTTTGCGAATCGCTATAGTGGTCGCAAAAAGTCAATGTCTAGTGAAAAAACTGTCATGTGGGGTAACTGTCTAGCGAGGCACCACTGTAGTTACCCTCTCCCCATCAACACAAGTAAGAATGTACAAGCAAACCAAAGCAAGCCAGATTACTAAGTAAATCCACCGCTATCTTACTCTGCTATCCGTACAACAAATGCCAATTTGTGTCCCTCAGGCATAAGAAGTGCTCCAGGCTTCTGTTCCATGCGACGCAGGCGGACATCATCTCTGTTTTTCCGATGTGAGTCCCGCAAAAATGACTCAAGGCGTTTGAATGATATCTGTTTCCCTTTTTGGTACTAAGATAAAGCAGTAAAATACCTTGACTTTAGTCATTGAATTATTATTATACCATACATTACCTAGTTCTTTTAATTAATGTGCAAAACACTTCAATGCATACTAGTATTAAACATCTGTACATCACGATGTTAAAAACTACAAAATGAATGGTACAGTCCCAATCTGAGGGAATTACAACATATAGCTGATAATACTGGAGAGAAGGAGGACCTAGTTTTATTTTTCATATATATTTGTTTTCCTTTAGCCTACTGGACACAGCTGTCCTGCTTAAGGGTACTCATAACAGAACTCTCACACTTCATAATTTAAATGTAATTAAGCAGCGCAATGCCCTGCCAAACGTTATGACTCTCCTACCTTTCTCTTATCGAGCAGCGCCTGCTTTGCTTGGGTAGCCTTGATTGCCTGATAGGCCTTCCTTTTCTTCAGTAAATTTTCAGGCACCAAAGGTATCTTCCTTTGTGGTCTAAATACAGAGGAAAAGCTTAGATGTAAAGCTAAAACAAATTTTATGTGCTGTTATTACGTCTCATCTAGTTGCTTCTGACTTACAGAGACCTGAATAGGGTTTTTGTGGTGAGACAGTCACAAAATAGTTTACCATTTTATATGCCAAGTATGTTTCCATGGTCAAGCCAGAACTTATTTATTTTTATCTTGCCTTTTTCCTTGAAAGGGACATGAGGCAACTCACAACATTGAAAGACTATTTGAAATTGAAAACAATGAGTATACAATGGCGATTAACATCATTAAAAAATAATATCTAAAGATAGGAACAATGAGTAAAAAGACATCTTACATAATAAAAACACAATGTTAGACCCAAGAAAAATACTATTTTTAAAAATGTCATCCTGAGAAATGGAAAATACAAAAATGGAAAACACAAGCAGTACTAAAAATCCAATTAAAGCAGTAATGTATACCAATCCATCAAAAACTAACTAAATACAGTAAATAAATTCACACAAATGCAACTAGAACCCAGATCTCTCTCTCTCGATATAATATAGATATATATATAGATAGCTACAGTAGGGTCGTGACTTGAGAACTTAATCCGTATTGGAAGGCAGTTCTCAAGTCAAAATGTTCTCAAGTCAAATCTGCATTTCCCATAGGAATGCATTGAGAACCATTTGATCCGTATCTGCTCTTTCCCGTCCATAGAAACTAATGGGAAGCTGCTATTCTGCCTTCGACCACTAGAGGGGGATATTTTGTTTCTTTTTTTCTTAGGTCAAGAAAGGTTCAGGGAAGGCAGGGAAAATACAGTCCAGGCAGTACCAGGCAGCCTGAAGACTCCCAATCCACTCTCTAAACGCTGGGAAGAGTGAGGAAGCAGACAGGGACCCTTTTCACTGGCCAACAGTTAACCGAAAGTTCAAATTTTGCACTTTCCCTGCCTCCCACGTGGTTTTTTTTAGTTCTTAACTCAAATCTAAGTATGTAAGTCAAGTCAATATTTTCCTATGAGAGTGGTTCTTAAGTCAAAATGTTCTTAACTCAAGGCGTTCTTAAGTCAAGACCCCACTGTATATAGATATGTATCTATCTATAGATAGAGATATAATACATATATATGTGTGTGTACTATATCTATATCTACTGTATCCATATGTTTGTCTGTCTATCTATCTAGCAGGCTTGTCCAACCTTGGCCCTCCAGGTGTTCTTGGACTTCAGCTCCCAGAAGCCTTCAGCACCACCTCTGCTAGCCAAGGCTTCTGGGAGTTGAAGTCCAAGAACATCTGGAGGGCCAAGGTTGGACAAGCCTGACTAGAGAGAGTGAGTACACATTAGCTAACATCCTACTGAAATCCATGGGACTGAAGTTTGCTATAATTAACTACGTACAATGGATTCAAAGAGGTGTGACTAAGTTTAGACCCAACCAGTATGGTTTAGGAAAAAATCACACCTGTTCAGGTATCTAATATACAAAAAATAAAGATCGGAGGCTTTTTTGGATGTTTGGAAAAGCTACACTGACAACAGATTCCCAGAAGTACGCCATTTTTCCCTACCGAAAGGTGCACAAACCAGACGAACGTAACTATTCTGGAGTTTAAAAACCAACTTTCCCCCGTCTAAACCCTCAATATCCGAGCCCCCCCCCTCTCTCTCCGCACGCCTTCCTCCGGTTCTCCCGGGACACACATGCTTGCCAAGGCTTCGAAAAGCACACCAGCTCCCGTAGACTCCAACTTTCTTCCTCTGGTGACGAAGCGCCGGGTATGCCCAGACACCGTCTTTAGTCTTACAAGTCTCCGACCCCCGCTTCTACCTCAGAAGCCCGTCAGAAGGCCACCCTCTCCCAGGATGGACGCAGATGGTCCCGCCACCTTCTTACTCCCCCTCAAAAACTCACTCAGGCGCCGCCATCTTTCTCGGATCCAATACTGCACCACTGCGCATGCGGGTCTCGGCAGCCTTGCCCAAACAGAAAATGCTTCCCCCACTCAGCGCATGCGCTGTCTTCCCTTCATAGTTTGGCCGAAATGAGGTTGCGGATGACGTTTAGGACTACAGCCCCCAGAATTCCCCAAGAACGCTGCCTAGGAAATAGTCGCCTTAAAACGCAAATCGGGGCACCTCTAACTAAAGCGGTTTGATTTTTATCTCTTTGGTGATCTAGTGGCATAAACGTGAAAAATATGAGAACAACACTGCTCAACGGAGAGGGAACTTCCTGGTTCACTTTCACTGTGTCTGGGCGAGAAATGTGTAAGAGCGACCAAAAAAATCTGCTTAAATATATTTAGCGTGGTTGTGATACAGCTTGCAACGTGATCTCCTGAGGAAAAAAGCAAAGAGAAGAATCCCGGTTCTTTTAAAGCGAGATCTTAAGCGGGGGCAAAACTTGTTTTAAAACTTTTAAATATTTCTACCAATAGCAATAAAGGCAATTTTCCCTATGTTGTATGACTTGTGAAAGTTGACACAGAGTTTGAATGTAATGAATTAATATGTAACTTGTTGCTTTTCCTGATAAGGGTGTTGTTATTTAGTCCGACTCTTCGTGACCCCATGGATCAGAGCACGCCAGGCCCTCCTGTCTTCCACTGCCTCACTGGAGTTGTGTCAAATTCATGTTGGTAGCTTCGATAACATTGTCCAGCCATCTTTTCTTCTGTCATCCCCTTCTCCTCTTGCCCTCACACTTTCCTAACATCAGGGTCTTTTCCAGGGAGTCTTCTCTTCTCATGAGATGGCCAAAGTATTGGCGCCTCAGCTTCAGGCTCTATCCTTCCAGTGAACACTCAGGGTTGATTTCCTTCAAAATGAATAGGTTTGTTCTCTTTGCAGTCCAGGGGACTCAAGTCTCCTCCTGCACCACAATTCAAAAGCATCAATTCTTTGGCGGTCAACCTTCTTTATGGTCTAATGGTCTAGCTCTCACTTCCATACATCACTACTGCTAAAAACCATAGCTTTGACTACGCAGACCTCTGTAGGCAAGGAGATGTCTCTTCTTTTTAAGATGCTGTCTAGGTTTGCCATTGCTTTCCTCCCAAGAAGCAGGCATCTTTCAATTTCATGGCTGCTGTCACCATCTGCAGTGATCATGGAGCCCATATCTTCCCCTTCTTTTTCCCAGGAGATGATGGGACCAGTGGCCATGATCTTAGTTTTTTTGATATTCAGCTTCAGACCATTTTTGCACTCTCCTCTTTCTCCCTCATTAATATTTAATTCCTCTTTTCTGCCATCAGAGTGGTATCATCTGCATATCGGAGGTTGTTGATATTTCTTCCAGCAATCTTAATTCCGGCTTGAGATTCCTCCAGTCCAGCCTTCCGCATGATGTATTCTGCATATAAGTTGAAAAAGCTGGGGGACAATATACAGCCTTGTCGTACTCCTTTCCCAATTTTGAACCAATTAGTTGTTTCATATCCAGTTCTAACTGTTGCTTCCTCTCCCACATATAGATTTCTCAGGAGA